CTTGTACATCGGCTGGCCCCCGCAAGTCATTGTATAGGCCACATCGCATTCAAACGCCACTACGAATGTACAAATGGAAGTAGAATGCGTGCCGCATCCCAAAAAGGGATTGATCAACGGCAAATGCTTTATCCTTTTATCCTTATTTTACGAGAGGGCGAGCCAGAAGAGACTGATGGTAAAACAGTCGAAAGACAATTCCAAAAACTAGCCAAATAAAGCGACGATAATTATTATGATTCAAGTGGAATAGAAAACACTCTAAATAAGACTTCATGAAACATAATAAGGATCATCATCTACATTTGCTTTATAAAGTTGGAACCAAGTTCTAACGCGGTCTGAATCATGAATGCGCCTGCCATTGCCAAGCCCGTGGCGAGATGGCCGAGCGGTCTAAGGCGCTGGTTTAAGGCACCAGTCCCTTCGTGGGTGCCGTGCCGGCACTATCGGGCTGATTACGTAGGATTAGAATGACCACAAGACTTTCTTAATGGTCCCGAAGAGTCTCATACGTCTGACTCACCAAATTAGTGTTTACTGAACATTATGGTTGTATAACAGCAACACATACAAGATCTCGTGTTTAGCTCGTTGTAAAGTGAAGTATGCCCAATACCGATATCCTCAAATCGATTGAACCCATCATCGTATGTTTTTATGCGCTCTCGCGCTGTCCGTAATTTACCGACCAGTAACCTCTGTCCTGCATAGCGGGTATAGTCTCTTTAAGTGGCCAATCGCGCAACTCGATTTGCTTTCCTTTCTGCGTGCTCAAATCTTCCACTCCAATACTTTCGGATTACAGGAGGCGGTGATTGAGTTCTCTTAAAATTAGAACGCAGCGCAATACAATACCTTTCCCCTAACCACAGAAATACCCTCAAACATGTATGGAAATACTCTGACCTGCTTGAAGGGACCAAACGCTAGAAGGAAGAATCCTAAAATAGAGACTCAGGTAATGCTGAAATTTGTATATTAAAGCTGAAGGGAAGTGACAATAGAGCACCGAGATAGGAGGAATTATGATCCGCAGAGAGCAGTAGTGGGCAATTTTTATGCTGGGTTGATAAAGGGAGAGAAGCTGGAAAAATGAAACGAAAACGTGAAGAGACTATTGGTAGAAACGAGAACGAAATTCCCGAATATAGTGTGGATATTAATCGCGAAACTAAAATCTACACTCGGAATCTAGTGCTAATAAAATTAATAACGCGTGAAAATATAGAGAGTCACCTTCGCGCGAAAGAACATTGAGTGAAAGAGATCTGCCGTACAATGGTATAGCTGAAATAATAAGTAGTAATATGAGGAGTTCCTCAAGTATAATAGAATTGCTTTTCTTAATTGAGTAAAAGTGTGGTATAGAACTCGGATCCGTCGTAGCTCGCATGGTGTTTCCATGCTTAATCGCCAGTTGAGAGTGTCAATTCTGCGATTAATTAAACATGATTTAGTTCTGCTCAATCCAGACAGTATAAGCAAGTCGGAGCGTGTGAGCCTTTAATACTCAGCGAAACTGCAGACGAAGGACCCCACACCTAGACGGACCCGCCAGGCAACCAAGGCGCTGTAGAAGGCGACGGAGTTTCGGGCTGTAAGATAAGTGTGAGCACAGGGCAACTTAATCCACTGAAGAAAAGAATATGGTAGGCATTAATGGTAAGAGACTGGATGAGATGATTGATCCTACTCAACTAAGAGATGCATAGAAAATAACTTCCCACAATTTCATAGTTTGAAGTATGAGTCTCGAAAACCGTGGCAGTGACTTCGGATACCACCCGGCGGCGACAGAGATCGACAAGTTGCATTGAATATGTTATTCCCTCATATTAAGACGTGCATAGGTCTATGCGTGCAATCATAGTGTCACGCAGCGAATGGAAACGAAGAAGGATGGATATGGATGATTAAACGAGCGAGAACAAGTGATTTTAATTAAGAGAAAGTGTTATTCACAAAAATGTGATATAATATATCAGTCGTAATTTTTGTTTATAAGAAAGCACTGGCGTATTCAAAGCACTCCAAACCCAAAATTAATGTCTTAGCAAAACTACTATATAGCATAGAGAGAGACATACGTCTAACAAAAAAAGCCCTTAAATAGCAGTAATAAAAAAGACCCTAAGAGGATGATGAACACTGTCCGCTTCGGGTAAGTTATGTCCCACTCTTCCGTCAGACTCCCTACCATGGTTTTGTGATCACGGCTTATTTCCGGTGCTAGTAATCTACCATATTATGTGTGTGTCCAAGATGTAATATTACTAAAATGAACTCTAAGATGAGGATAGATTATGGCATCGAACACGAACTGCTCAAATGTCTGCATTATGGTCTGAACTGAATAACGATAATCTGCCTCCACCTCTCACACAGCTGCGTTTTTGTGAGATCCAAGTGCCGCGCGAATACAAAGACAATACAAAGTATGCGCTGTTGGATGTGGCGATCTTTGAATCAAGTGAAATCTTCCGATAATAAAGAAAAATAACTGCAGTGAGACTCGGGTCCCAGGCTTTTATGTTGAGACCATTTCCGGCCTCGCGATGCAGTCCAGAGTAAAGGTTGCACAAGGTAACGAATTGGTTCCATCTCTTTATTATAGACCTCTGACAATGCCTGGGCAAGGCGCGATACGGGGGAAAGAGAGCGTCTGGCGAACGGCATGTAAGCAATATCTCATCTACTGCGAGTAGCGAGCCTTTTTAGAAAGTGAAACCAGAACTGCTGTTTATTGTGAATCTGTTGTCTGTCGAACTTCGCTTCAACCTTAGATATATCTGCGAGACACCGCGTCAAGTTCGATGTGCTCGTGATGCCTAGTACGCGGGCTCGCGCTCCGCCTTATATGATAAACGGAAAATCACTCATCTCTCGCTCAAGGTGCAGCAAGAATCGTTATGTTTCGCGCCGTGTCACGAGCTATGAACAGCTCTCTCGATCGAAGGGCAAATGGGATCGAGCCACGCACGGTATAGGAACTTATACGAAGATGTCAAGAGGATTCATTAGACAGAAGAAAACCACGTAGAAGTTTATATGGTACGATTGCCGCAACGTTATTTTGCTCTGAAAAGTTGTGAGCGAATTATGCAATAGCTCTGAAGTGCGGAACCCGAGCAAATTGCCTGATTTCAATAGCGAACTTTGATGGAAGAGATTAAATGCTATCTGAGTACTATTTAATTTTACTTGTCTAAATAACGAGTGTAAGTTGTTATGTGGCTCGTTTGTATATGATGTGGGTTGGCTCTAAGTCTAGGAACAGGAAAGTCATTCGCTAGAGTTCACGTAGAGATAATCAAAAGAGATATGTCGACACCCACCACCAATGCGGTCTCACTGTGAATGTTAAATGTGTGATAGTTAGGGCCTGCCGCTAGATAACGGCCAAAGCGGCGGTGTGCTTGCGAACACACAGTGAATTGGCAGGTCAACAGTGTTACGGCTAAGCTCATAATGAAGACTGCTTAAACTAGACATAAAATAATAGGAGGCTAAGAGAACAGCTCGGAGTGTATATTATCTCGGGGAACAGTATATAGCATACTTGGTGAAGATAAGGAGGAATTGGCATCCAGTAGATGAACAGTAGATCAATAGATTCAAGCGTGTTGGGATATCAGTCGAAGTACGTAGTGAAGGGGGCGTACTAACCGCAGCTGCGTCCCTCCTGTAAGCTGTTAATGCGGTCCAAACGGGATGACAGCGGTAATCAATGGCTAGATGGAAAGGCCGAATAATAGCGATTAGCGACTGAACCTGCTAAGTTGGTTTCGATGTAGACTTAAAGAGTGTGTGCAGGAATGTCACCGCCGGAAACGAACGTCGTGACCGCGTCTTCGCTGCGTTATTTACCCTGGTGAATTGTCCGCTGCATATAGACCCACAGCCGGAGCAGCTATAACATAATGATAATGTCATCAAATAGGTGATAGGGAGTCGTAGTAGGAGACTTGATGAGCGTGTTGTGTTGATCCGGTACGGACTAACACTGGAAACGTGCCGAGTTGGTGCTAGCTTAGCAGAAGCTGAAAAGGTGGATGCGTAGCCTTTCGGAGCAAGGTGACAAGTTATTTCAACCTAACAATAAAGCGGAATTTGAATTCGCCCCTGACATACCCTAACGAGGGCTCACCGAATGCTGTTCTTCCTGAAATATCTGGTACGTTGTTGAGTGATACTCTTGTTCTTAAAGGAATCTTCCACGGAAAAAGCTCCGCCCTCATTACCACAGAAAACGATACCTTAAAGGAATCTTCCACGGAAAGAGTGATCATTTTGTCTTGTGTGTAGGATTAGTATTATCGAAACTAACGCTTATGTTCCGTTCTTTTTGCTATGCTCATGAGGCTAGGGGCCTAAGGGGTATCGTTTTTCTAGGTAATGGAGGCGGAGCTTTTTCCGCGGAAGATTCCTTTAATGGAAGCAGACGCATCAGGATCCAGGATTTCAAGGGAGGGTTTAGAGGAGAGGCCAACATCAGGAATTCCATTCTATACTTCTGTGGTTTCCGTTCGACGCTTGTATGCGTTTTTGTGCTCCGATAAAGGAGGTGCTAGGAATGAAAGAGCAAGCGAACGGAATTTGATGGTAGAGGAGCGTCACATGGAGATCTGGGTCAGTTTGAAGAGCCATTCTGCGCGAACATGACCACTAGAGAGGGAACTCTACTCACCTGGGACTACCAATATTGCGAACCTTTCAGAAAGCCAAAATGGGCTGCATCTCAGAGTTGAAACCTTCGACTAAAGTCTGTTTCTACACTCCCATTATTGCTGCCTACTAAGCTCAAAGCTGACTACGCATAAAAAACAGCAAAGAGAGTGTAGAGTCTGTCATGAGCTATGGAAACGCTGATAACTGTTGTATTTAGCATCGAATGCGTAAAAGTATTTCAATTAGAAATTGGGCACGGAAAAGAAAAAAAAATTCGATAAAGCAGAAAAAACAACAAAGTGAACGGAAGAAAAGTGAAAAACCCTTACCCTAATTGCTACCGCATCTCGACAAAGCAGTATGTTCATCGATCCAGACGTGGTAATATTACCTACAGTGTGAACGGCTCGAATCGATCGCAGCTGGTTAACAGTTCCAACGAAGAAATTCACAAAATCTTGCGAAAGCACATTGTGAGAAAGGAACATCTGGAGTGAAATATCATGGAAAATAAAATAATACAACCATTACTTCGCAAACTGGAGACTATTTCCAAATAACAAATACTATACCTTAGAGGCTATTTCTCCACTAACGTCTCTTTTCGAAGGTTCAGTCCAGACGTGATCAAGGCATAACTCAGCCAATAATAAATCGAAATCTGGCTGGCGTTGAAGCTCCCGGCTGAACACTTGTATTCTGTAAAACGAATTTAAAAATTACGAATACGACTGCACGATAATCACTGGTAGAAACCGCCATTAAGTAGCTATTGCTTATGGGATGTTCTGAGACATTGAGTCTAGAGATACGGGCAGGAGGCAGTTCAGTCACAGGAAAATTCCAGGAGTAGACCAATAAACGAGATCACAGATCGAGAGAAGCGGGAGCGCGCTATATGTAGGAAGGATAGAGGAACAACGGGTGATAAGGAAGCAGTTGCATGCCTCTACTCTATATAGCCACTTACTATCAGCTCCGAAGAAACTTTGCACCAAAATGCTCATCGTGAGGATTAATCTTCGAGAAAATATAAAATTGACCGACCTTGGAGTAATCATCTGATGGACTGGATCGTAAACTTGTGATATTGTACTGTTTTTGTGATATTGTACTGTTGGCAGCTTCAGAGTGACCGCCCAGGGACTGGACAACTTAACTTCAACTTGCTAATTAAAAACAAGAACATGAATTCGCAAAAGTCTCCAGAATAGAATCAATTTTCCATACCCTAAGGGGTGACGGTGTCCCAAAAAAAAAAAACAGCGAAGCCATTAAGACAGTCTATTTTTCAAAGAAACCTATGATACTGCAGAGAAAACGTCAAAACAAAAAAATCACTCACATCGGTGAAAAAATCGACAGAGCGGGGCTGTCTGCTGGAGGGGCATGTGGCGGATGTGGAAACGAACGAGTCCTAGCCAATCGGGCAGTCATGGATCTCGTATGCACTGAACGTATCAAAGAACCACCGCCTGTTACTGTTGAAGCAGCATGAATCCGAGGTGCAGCCAGAGAAGCACCAGAACCTGCATAGGATGAGAATGTTATACATTGACATGTGGTTAACGAAAAAGGAAAGTCTGCTTTGGCTTCCAAAATCAAACACTTAACGAAACTATCAAACAGTAGTAGAAGCAGCGACAGTCATCATAACGGAAAAACCTACTCTGCAAGCGATGGGCAGTAATGGGAGTTGATTCGGGATGAATAAGTGGCGTTCCTTGAGTAGAGGTTGCCTCAGTTCGACGTTTTTCCAGAAGTTCTATGGCAGACTGTACCTCATGTTCCGAAGTGATGCGAATTCGCAATAAGCTGTGTACCTGGTAAATAAACAACACTGGAGAGAAAATGGAAGCGTACACATTTGGTGGGAAGAATTACTGTAGGGTCCTGAGGTCACAAAATTGCGCCTCACGGTTCTCATCGCGTGAAAAAAACCACTAATCTAATGAATGCGACGTTCTGAGCTCGGGCGAATGTGGAACCAAATATATAAGCGTTAAATGGAGGATTCAAGTTCCAGTAAAAAAGCACTTCCATGGTCGCGAGTTAGCTCACCAAAACCTCTGTTAAGCAAGCGCAAAATGGGTTCGTGAAGGTTGCACATCTACAAAATGACCAAAATTTGAGGTGACTAGAGCAATCACTAACCTCATTCAATCTATCAAATACCAACAAAAAATCATCTTCAGCTCCTATAATACGATATTCGGATTTCTCCCAACAAAACAACCATTGCGTCAAAGAATCTGGAACAAAAACCAAGAAATTGAAAACTTTGCAGATTAAGATACTATGTAAGGCACGCTCACACTACCTCGCGGCTTGAATATTACCCGCCAATAACTTCATTAACGGATGAGAAGAGCGAATAGAGAGCAACTTGCTCTTCCGCCGAAATACCGAAACACGTTAGATCACGCTCTACGAGCAACCCAAACTTGGTTGCGTATACAGCGTGAATCTGAAAGAAGTAGCGGTGAGGAGAAAAATGTTTATCGGTGTGACAAAACCACATGATTAGCAAGGTCGAGGCTTCAATGTTCACAGAGGAACGCGTGCATCGTAGTGACATGATAAATATCAGTGATTCTCATCAATTTTCAGCGAAAAAATACTGCAGACCTTTCACAAAATAAAACGTGTGATAGAGAGCTCTTCAACATATCATTATACAATTGATCCATTTGACTGCAAGCAGCATAGTCATCGTAAAAATTAATTCCTATCTTAAAACAAAACACTGTGACTCACATCGAACTGCACACGAAAAATCCCAATGGATGGGAATCATTGACAGCAATGAACATCAAATCGCGCAAACCAACGATGCAAAAAAATTCTTGAGTAACAGCTGTCTCTATTTCACTCTTTGAAGGAGGAAATACAACCCAAAGTATAGCTGAAAAGAAAGCAGTGAACTAAATCATTTAAAAATTAAAATACCTCTAATCATCTTGACGAATTCAAAAGTTTTGTGCTATAAGATTCGCTCTTGGAAGTGAATGATTCATGTTCACAGATAGCTGCAGGACGTGCGCGCTACTATTCATCTTTCCCTGTACTTTGCCCTCTAAGGAAAACCACTGAGTCACTCTACAACCAACTTACCATTACCATTAGTGGAGGAAAACCAAAGACGTGTTTGAACTAAAACATGGCCATTTTATAGGCGTCGCGCAAAATCGCCTACAATTGCCTACGAGAACGTTCCATGTCAAATAACAAAGCGACTTCTATGTCCATATTATGCCAAAGAAAATGATGGCAAAATTATCAAACATACCTGGCCGAATTCCAAAGGCCACGTCTCGGCCGTAACCCAGTGTTTTCCCATTTTCGCCAGTAACTAATGTCTACTTTCAACGACTACTGGCAACAGCATAGATCAGACGACCCATCCGCGCATGTCCCGCTGACAGAAAGCAAACTATAAGTAGACACAAATCGCTCGCGACCAATTAGTTCAACAGTCACACAATTAATGACGTCCGAATTCGATTCTCTCTAATGAAAATCGGCAATACGGCGGTAGCGCTAGCCAAAATGAGCGCTTTATGTCGATCAACAAATGCAAGGGAAACCGACAGAAATTCCAACAATTCGTACAGCTCATCATTTACCCCTAGAAACAGTCTCAAATCAAGCACAAAAGTCACGCCTGCTCGTAGTTACCAACAGATGATCGGCGTGGCCGTGTGGAAAGCGCAGAGCAGGGGATAGTAGTCCCCTGCTAGAAAGGTTTGGGGAAGAGAAGAGAACATAAGCACGCTCTCTAAGCGAATGTGCTGAAGGCGTATCATCGGCGGGTTTGGAGTCACTAAAATGTTCAAATGTGATCATATCAAGGTTATAGGTTTGGCCCTCTTGCATAGCTCTTCTAGTGTCACAATGGCTGCTTTTGCTAACCAGCGCAAAGGGAAATAAATATTCAAGGGCTGCTGCGACTCGTGATAAAAGGCGATGGATCGGTCTGTCTAAAAGCAGGGATTGATAAGGCCTCACGTCTGGATTACAAGTGAATGCACGAGGAGAGATATTTCAGAAGACTTCTTATTTCTTTCGATATGGAAGAGACGAATACTCGATGTTCAAAAGAAAAACCCTACAAAACAAGAAGAGAAAAAAGAATTTTTCAAAGAAGATTTGATAGTAGATAGGAAGCGCAAACGAATCAATTCCCCCAGAAACCCACCAACTTTTCAAAGAACTACTTCGGAAAAAGTTATGGCCATTTGAATTCCAGAACAGCACTTTCAGAGAAAGTGCATGAAAATCTTGAAAAACTACCAACGTAGGTAGAAATTTCTCGGGTCAGACCAGTTACCAGCAGAAGAACTTTAAAAAAGAAAAACTCACAATTAAGGTTCACCATTCACTCGTGAGCTCAAACCTTCAAGTTCTCTTAACTCGCTTCCATAGAAAACAATTTAAAGAAAGTTTCGACAGTTTGAATGTTGGAAAAGCCCCGCATGCCCACGAAAAATTTGCGAATGGCAAACGACATTTGAAGGAAGTTTCAGAATCATATCAGAGACGAACTACCTGATCCTATGGGACCTTTTGACTCGTCATGAAAGGTCACAGCTCAAGGAAATTATGAATTTCAAAATGGAAACTGTGAATTTTCACACTTTCTTTGAAATTTCACTTTATGGGTGCACTTCATAATGAAAGCGGTATTCAAAATTAAGAGCAAGTTTAGAATAAGAGGAAAGTGGAGCCTTGTAGATTTCAAATATAAACAGATACTTCTCAGGTTGAAAGTGGTAGTTGTACCCGTTCAAAGACAAAAGCTCGTGCCTCTCTCTAACCCTGTCTGAAAGAAGCATAAGATGTTCCATCGTGTGCTGCCCAGCAAGCGCTGTACAGAAGGTCAAACGCGATCATTTTCGTATTTCGATCTGTAGTTCCAACCCTCATTTCAGAAATGATTGGAGGTGGTCGTGAAGAAGAGCCTATCGAAGCAAGGTGGTAATGTGGAACCCCTAAAATCTTAACCGCAGCCGCGTTGACCCTTCATTTGATTCTCTCTAGATAACCGCAAACAAGTGACCCTTCCACCGTAAACATTTAAGGCTACAAGTGAGCTCTTACCGTGCTATCGATTCCAATAATAATTGCATGACGTGGAACAGCTATAAGGGATACTTTGACAATGAGAGCACATAATTCACTATAAACTCGAAAAATCTAAGAAATGCTCCGGTAAAATGGCTAACCTTATTCGTGTTTCCTTTGAAGAAAGGCAACGGAATACACCGCTTCGTTGTCGGGATCATGACGTCTTCTATCTGATGGTTTTCAGCGCTCGTCGATTCGATCATTCGACGAAGCGCCCACGAAACGCTGATACGATGACTAATCAGTGCACTATTAGAATTATTAGCTTGACGACATTACAGAGTACTGAATGGACACGACTACAGTTCCATACATGGCACCGTGCACCGAATCGCACGCTACAATTTGACCCCCTCCCCAACCCCTCTTTGCCTCCTGTCACCGCTGCGTCAACAAAGACAAATGTTACCCTTGACTAGTCACCAGCGAAACCTAGCTTGTCACAATACCTATTGCCTCCATTCGCACTGAAAGGAGGAAGTGTTGGCAAGATCTAACCCTTTGTTAGGCACGACCCGCATAGAACTATAGAACAAGACGATGTGCAAGGAAGCCATCTTGCCCCAACCCAAGTGCGCAACAGAGGTCCGGCCAGCTATTGCCACATCTGACATCGTAGAAATACCCGCAGGAAAAAACCAATCTGTTGTCAAACACTTGCACATGTAACAAGTTCATTATGTCATTGAAATTAAGGACAACAACCGATTCATAACACACGCATCAAGACCGAGATTAAAATGATGGAATATAATAGGCAGAGTCGCGTTAGTGGTTAAAGTAAGGAATGTGAGGTGATAATATAAACATGAGATCGCCACTTTTTCAGGTCGCACTGTATTCAAACTGTGGCGGTATCTGTAACAGACGCATCTTCTGCATCTGCTTTCGGCCTCTTCACTGCTGCTTCAGCTTCCGATTCCACCTCAGCTACTGCATCAGCGGTTCTTTTCGTTGGTTTACGGACCTGAAGAAAAATCGCAGTTTTTATGATTCTTATAGGCTAGTATTACTACAAGACCTTAAAAACCGCTTCAAGGTTGGTTACACTATTTCAGTCAATTACTCAGTTTAAGAGCAAAGCACTCACCATGTTTGAAATATCATTAACTGGAGTGTCATCAGCAACTGGTGCCAACTTGGGCAGTGTAGCTGAGAAGGCAGACTTCAGCTCCTCTTTGGCCTGAAACAAGTGGTGTGCAAAATCAAATCAAAAGCTGGTTCTCAGGTGCTACCTTTTCTAGTGTAGAGGCACTCTCATCGGCGTCCTGAATTTTTAGCTCGATATCAGGAATGAGACCCTTGAGGTCAGTGAGTCGCTTCTCCCGCTCTGCGTTTCTCCTTTTCCTTCTTGATCGTTCATCTCTTGTATAGCCTTCTCAATCGTTTCTGAAACCATAGCAACCATTTTGAAATAGAACCCACGCAAATCTGGTTAAGACAACGGACCTACCTATGCGAAGGCTGAGGCACTCTTTGGCCTTTTGATAATGTTCAGCTGCTAGCGTGAACTCCTTGTCCAGTTTGTATACGCGAGCAAAAGTGACATATGTTTGAGCAGTAACACGATCACCAGGTGGCAAGTGATGTAGTTGTATTTGAAGCGCACTCGTTAAATCGTCCAATGCCTATTGTTAAAAAAATATTTACACAGCTGACATGACATAACTAATTATTACAACGTCATGCTCGTGTTTCCTAAAAAATGCGACCTGTTGCTGCAGAGCATCTACACCAATAACTAGGGCGAAGAAGTCAAAGCTCAATATAGGAAACCTCGAACTCTTCAATTTTCCACTCCACCTCATTTTTTTTGTCAGAATTTTAATCAGTACTCCAGGATACTGCAAGACAAAACCCACCCAATCCATCCAAAAACGATTTTACAGAGCACTTTCAAGCAACACTTGCGCAGAATTTTCAAACTTTGAAGTTACTCAGTACTGCGCGACAAGGTTTCCAATTAGCCAAGGAAGATAGCTATCGTAAAAAGGCACCTGCTTGTAGTTTTCCTCTTCTATCGAACACTCTGCGAGAGAAAACAGGACGTCCGCCTTTCGCAACTCCCACTCTTTTGTAGGCTCTTGCTTATCGCAGATGTTTCGGGCTACCTGAAACCATAGTGGTCAACACGGTCTCTGCAGATATTTAAATAATTCACAGTGCAGCTCGTAACTCATGCAAAAGAATTGGACTACAAACCGTAAGGCTAGAACTAACAGCTATTTTCTATACCTGATGTAAGAGTTCAACACGTTAGTGGATGATGAAGGTGAAGAGCAAATGCTATCCCCTTTTATCCCCGCCACAGGGCGTTCCAATAGAATCACGGTATGGTGGGAATAACGTAGGGGGTATGCAACCACTCTTGCGCAGAGTTGTAAAATGGATAACTCAGCAGCCATATTCTCACCTCTGTTCGTGAAAGATATAAGTGTTACCAATGTGAACGCGTGCACACATAAAAAGGAAAAGAAAGGTTCACATCGGTCCACAACTGAATGACAAAACAGACCAACGTAGTTCAACACGTTATTGATGAAAATTAGAGAGTGCATGAACAAGCTTCTCAAACAAGCATTACCTCCAGAACTTCCCAGGCAGCTTGGAAATTGCTAGGCTCCTCCTCTGTGTCATCCTTTGCTTCAGCGTCAGGTTCTTAAAATATAGAGATTAGCACGTACCACAACACGACCGATCGAACAAATTACAATTTTCAATAATGATACCACACCTGAAACAATCGGCACTGCTTCGGCATCACCTGCTTCGTTCATCTCAACTGCATCAGTTTTTTCATCAGTCGAGGCAGGCTCTGTGGCGGATTCGGTAGCATCGGGTACGGCTGGTTCTACGGCAGCGGATTCAGTAGCGTCAGACACAGCAGGCATTTCGGCATCTACAGGGACCGCCGGAACCTCCCCTGTCGACACTGTAGAGTCAGGGGCTGTTGGCTCATCAACAACGTCAGCGCTGTCCTCAGATTCTGAAATTTGAGCTATCTTATTAAGTGGATAAACCTCACTGGAAAGAAAATCAGAACACAATAGCTACCAGGTATGCTATCTTCTTCAAGCGCCTCTTTTTCAGAGCTCTCTGCCACCTTGTCGTCTTTCACCTCACTATCACCACTGGCAGCAGTTTCAGCCTTGTCCAACTCCTCTGCATTTTCTGCGAGAGCCTCTTCCACTTGCTCTCTTATCTCTTCACGCTCACTTTCTGAACGGCAACAGATGTATCAAGCACTAAATTATGAAGTGCCAACTTCTGGTACTAAAATTAAAACAAAGGGTGCTAGTGAGGTTTCACAAAATTCAAAATTAACTATACTTAGTGTCCGCTCTAACACAGCGCAGATCATTAGAGGCATTATCATCATTAGACCAGTTTTGCTCCGCCCGCTATCTCGCGCGCATCCACACGACAGTCTTCAGCGAAACTGGAGAACCTGGAATATCAGCAGTGACGTCCCTCCATTAACCGAGTTCCTCACTACTGAATGGCGATATACCTTTCCTGAAGTCATCGCTAGAATGACGTCTGATGAACGTCTGGTGATGCATGCAGAGTTCGTTGGGGGGACGAGAGTGGTATTCAGTCGTCGCTAAATGGCGCCGGCGAACGAATCTGAGACAAAGCAGTGAACTAAGCGAGTGCCAAGGTCTTTGACGGATGGTATTGCTGAATATTTTTCAAAAGTTAGTTCACAAAAAAATAGCACGTTGATACTTGTCTTCCGTGAGGTTGGGGGCATTGACTTGGGAAAGCTGAACCCAGTATATGACAAACTTCTAGAATTCAAGCTCTTTAAAAAGTGCTGAAACTTATCCCAAAAGTCCCCAATTCAAAAAGTTAATTCCGTTGGGACTTTTTTTAGAAGGACATTCTTCAAGCCATTTTCTTGAAGACGCGGGTGTTTCTGAGCTTCACTGGTCGTAACCTCCCGGAAATCAATTTTATGTTGAACTTAAATTGTGTTGGAAAGCTTGGAGCACGCGCTTGCACTGACACCATCTGTTATGGTGTGCGCACGCCTAGGCCGCGCTTCTAATTCGCTTGATTCACTCGAATGCCCATTTGAAAGGAAGCGTGAGCTGAAATGCTCTACTATCAGTTATTATGCGTTAACATCACGCGATTCTATTATCAATCTGGAAGAAGCAATTATTATTATCATCTGGGAAAGAATGGAGGAATTTCCCGGGGGGGGGGGACTACTTTAATCAGCAAGATCGAAGTACATCTGCGTTCTAGAAGAGGCGCGAAGCATCCAAAATCAGCTGTTACTGGAACTTTTGAAATTTGAACTATTAAATGCATCTTTAGCCCTACTTCGTACCATAAAGCACTCGGCAAACCAACCAGTAAGCTTATCGGGATCACCAATGGTTTCATCCTTATCTTGTTCATTTTCCTCGACGCCGTTCTCTGCTTCTTCGGTCTCTTCCTCATCTTCGTCTGCTTCAGGCATATCGGTCATTGCGTTTTTCAACACATCAGCCTCGATGCGGCCCAATTCGATGAGGCACTGTCCATAGTAATAATGAGGATCGAACGACTCACTGGCGAACACGCCGTAGACTTCAGCTCTGAAAAAAAGCCAACACTTCCAGCTATTCTAGTTTTTGAAGCGCACTAAAAATCGAAATAAAATTCTTACGAATAGTTGGCACAGGTGCTGAGTTTATCAGCCGCCGCTTCATAATCCCCTGCCTTGAAATCGCGTTTTCCTTGAGCTAGAAGCTCCTTAACAGCTTCTTTTTTCCTAAAAAGAATAGATTTCAAAAAGCAAATACACGTGTCATGGTTTGAGTAGAAGGAACTTCGGGGAAATCAATACTACAAATATGCCAATCCTGTAGGTCCTCCTTTCCTAAAATTTATCCTTAGTAAAAGGAGGAACCCGGGGCGAGTAAGAATCATACTATTTGAAATGAATAACAAAAAAGCTTCATTTATCTCAAATATCTACCCGATATCAAATGATATCCGAGTACCCACCATACTCACATAGCACCTAAATCCCTCGCACAGAATTGTGCTAACTTAGTTGGGGGGGGGCCACGCGGCGGCGCGGCAGTCTGCTCACCTGGGTTCTCTCGAGCGAGACAGTGTAAACTCGAACATTC